GTGCACCGTCGTCAGCTGCTGTTTTGGTTTCCGGCACGCAGAGCGCCAGAAAATGGCCAAAAAATGGCCTGAAAATGGCCCAGAAAACGGCCCCAAAAATGCCCCCAAAACGGCCTGGTTTTTGAAAGGTTTTTGGGCCATTTTGGGGCTGTTTTCCGGTGCTCTGGCGCCTGCGAAGACCAGATGGCCAGCGCACGCGTGTTCCAGTTTGGGCACTCAGTGCCAAAAAGGTTCACCATCACTGCCCTATACCATTTTTTTTATTTATTTGTCAAGCAAAAGTTACCAATTCAGACGAACGAAATGAAAAAAAAAATAAAATGTGACAGGGACAATACACACGTTAGTGCACTTATGCATGCCCTTTTAGGAACCTCTTAAATATGAGATGAAATCCACAGAAGTTAAGTAGGAGTTAAAATTGCAAAAGTTAAAATCAGCCATCCCAGACAAGTGATTGTCCCGTCTCCTCTTAAAGGCCTGACCCACAACTTCCGGAGGGGAGCTGTTCCACTGGTTAATTGTTCTCACTGTTAGGAAATTTCTCCTTGGTTCTAGGTTGTTTCTCCCCTTGATTAGTTTCCATCCATTGTTTCTTGTCCTGCCCTCAGCTGATTTTGAGAATAAATTGACTCCCTCTTCTTTGTGGCAGCCCCTCAAATATTGGGACCCTGCTATCATGTAACCCCTGGTCCTTCTTTTCACCAAACTAGACATACCCAGTTCCTGCAATTGTTATTCATATGTTTTAGTCTCCAGTCCCCTAATCATCCTGGTTGCTCTTCTCTGCACTCTTTCCAGAGTCTCCACATCTTTTTTATAGTGTGGTGACCAAATACAGCATTCCAAGTGTGGCTTTGAATTTGAAGTTACCAAAGTCAAGCATAACATTTTTGGAGGACGTGTAAAAACTTTACTTGTTCATTTCTTCAGTATCTTCTAAGTCCATCCAACAAATCGAGTCCCACCCTTTGGACTCACCCGCTCAGTCTTGACTTATACAAGCTGTGCTGCTTTATGAAAGAGAAATATTCAGAATAAAACTTTTTCCAGTTCAGGCAGAGAATTTAATGCACGATACAAAAGATTTGTTCAGCTGATAGAAAGGCCCAGTGATGCTGAATCCTGGATTAAAGAGGATTTTCGTGTGGAGCTGGCTTGACTTTAAGATTCAGGATACAAATGACAACTTTGGATGTGATTCTTGGCCTTCTTCACGGCGTAAGTCAATAAACTCGGGCCTTGGAACCCACTCTTGTGAGAAGACAGGCCAACGTTTCCATGATTGAACGGATTTTGCTGGCCAATATCTCGGAGACTGTAGAAAGCAGGCCAGCCTCTTGTGCTTTCAGCAACAGCGGTCTCTCCCACGGCCAGGACCACCTTTAAAATATCAGAGCAAAGGCCAACAAAGAGAAAGATAAGACGTTTCTAACTGGAAATCTTGCTAGGAAAGCACGGTAGGGACCATTTTCTTGATTTGTCGTAGATTCGGTTGAAAGCAGATCCGAAGCTACAGTGTGCTTTAATCACCATTAGAAGAAAATACCAATAACAGAATAAGAGAGTTGGGAGGGACCTTGGAGGCCTTCTAGTCCAACCCTCTGCACATGGTAGAAGACTCTACACCATTCCAGACAAATGACTTTCCAGTCTCTTCTTGAAAGCCTCCAATGTTGGAACACCCACAACTTCTGGAGGCAGGCTGTTCCACTGGTTAATTGTTCTCGCTGTCGGGAAATTCCTCCTTAGTTCTAGGTTGCTTCTCTCCTTGATCAGTTTCCATCCGTTGCTTCTTGTCCTGCCTTCAGGTGCTTTGAATAATAGCTTCACTCCCTCTTCTTTGTGGCAGCCCCTGAGATATTGGAATTCTGTTATCATGTCCCCCCTAGTCAGGGATGAAATCCAGCAGGTTCTGACAGGTTCCGGAGAACTGGTAGCGGAAATGTTGAGCAGTTCAGAGAACTGGCAAATACCACCTCTGGCTGGCCTCAGAGTGGGATGGGAATGGAGCTTTTGCAATATCCTTCTCCAACCACACCCACCAAACCACACAATTCCCATGATCTTGACTCTGTCCCACTGTTTAGGCAACCAAGGATTGTATTCGCTTTTTTGGCTGCTGCTGCACACTGCTGGCTCATATTTAAGTGATTGTCCATTAGGACCAGGGGTCGGACTGGTTCGGGAAATGTGTTCTCCAACACATTTTGCAACTGCCCCTTCCCCAAAAGGCCTCCCCCACTTTTTTTAAAAAAAGGACAAGAATGAGCAAAGGGAGGTTAACCTTTCCTATCGCATATTAAAATAGTCAAGGAATGTTCAGAAGCTAGAGTCTAATGGAACAGAATTAAGATTTGGTTAGAGGAAATGACCTAACAACATATTGATTTAAAACCGGAGCTGTTCCTGCTGGGTATCCTACCAGAGAAAATTAGTAAAGAAAATGTATATTTGATTATTCATATAATAACTGCAGCGAGGATTTGCACAAAGATGGAAAGTAGAGAAAATCCCGTTGGAAGGGGAAGCAATTAAAAAAAATTTAGACTGTGCAGAAATGAATAAATTAACCTTGATGATTAAAGAGAGAGAAGATACAGAATATTTTAAGATATGGGGGAAATTTTACGATTGGTTAGAAAAGAGAAATAGATAAAGATTTTGATAATGAAATAGGAGAATATTATATTAAATGTATTGTACTTGGGGGAAAATTTGTAATAGAGAAAGGGAAATTATAAGGGAAGAAACGAAGATAGGAGGAGTAATCAAAAAGAGGAAGAAGTTACTGAAGAAACACCGAGATGACACACGGAAGGATTGGTGCATTATGTGTGTGTTTGTGTAAAAAAAAAAAAAAAATTAAAAAAAATCATATAAAAAAAAAAAAAGGAAGGGCCAGCCCATCTAGCATATGGCAGACTGGATTTGCCGAGCATCTGACGCAACTTTTAAAATGATCTGGATCTGGGCTGATTATGCAAAACAGGAAACCAAGTTCATGCAGAGTTTGAAAAACAATCTCTGCCCATTTCCCCCATTTTCTGACTGTTTTCAATCAAAGCTGATTAATGAAGGGATCATCGAGAAGAGAGCCAGGGCTGGTTCCGAAGGTTGGAATTCTGCCTTGAGTTTCCAAACACGAATAGTTTCCAAAATGATATCCACAAGCAGCAAAAAGACAAAAAAAAAAACACAACAAAACCCCACCCCTGCATAAAACTAGAGCTGAACCACAAAGACCCAATCTGGATCCGTCCCTGGGACCAGAGGTTTAGTCTTCCGAGCTTTCGGACTCATGCTGGAACCCATGGTCAAGGAACTTCTCTGGGTGCTTTGGACTGTTCGTGTGTGGTATTTATATGGTGCCTGTTGTGTGTATTAAGTCCTAGCCTCCTAAGTGCTTGATAAGCTGGGGGTAAATCAGCACTCCTGTTGACTGACAAAGAGTCTGTTTCCCAGGCTTCAATCACTTCCCTGGTGTTTCTGACTAGGCTTCCCAAGAGCATGAAGCAGACTCCTTATCCTGACAAAACCCCCTTTTTATTAAGTTGCTGTGAATTTCTCTCATTAACACTCAGCAGTCTTTCAAGGGAGGATTTACAGTCACAGACCTTATCTGGCTTGGAGAGCTGCCAGGCCGATATCTTCAAAACTTGGCAAGGAGAGTCACCAACCAATTAAGCAAACTAATTGTCTCCTGCAAACTCCACTCCCCCTTTCCCTCCTCTTTTATTCCCTCTGGGAGGGGCCATTCATCGTCCACCTGTGGCCTTACTCCCGAGTCGACCCTTGTCCCTTAGCTGTTCCCTTCGTCTGGCACCTCTGCGCATGCGCACACTGGGAACAGGCTCCAGCAATTCTTCTGCCTCACTGATGTCTCACTCTGAAGGCAGCTGATAACTGGCATCCGGCCCTGGCCCCCTCTCTGCCTCCGACGCAGAGCCCTCGTCAGAGCCTTTCCCAGACTCCAGGACTGGCCCAGGTTCCTCCCCAACCTCCTCACTGTCCAAATCTGCTGCCAGCTTCGCTGGCCGCTGGCAGGCCACAATACCTGGCTATTTTTTTGCCTGCTCGTCCAACAATCTTAGTAGCTGCAAAACTGAACATATGTCTTTGTTCATCGCAATGTGAGGCTACCAATGAGTTTGGGTTTCCTTTGCCTGACCACTCGCTTGCGTTCTTGCAATCTGATGGTTACCTTCCTCCCTGTTTAATCCTACCGGGGCAATCCATACAAGTGATCCAGTAGATCACTGCTTCCCAACTTTTTAGGCACCAGGGACTGGTTCCATGGAGAAAGGTTTTGTTTCCATGGACCAGAAGGGGCGTGCTTTCATGTACTGCCTGTTTCCTGTGGACAACGCTTCGTGTGTGTTTGTGCGGACCTGTTTCTGGCATGCTGTGGACCGATGCCAGTCCACTGATCAGGGATTGGGGGCCCCTGCGGTAGATTACATTGGAAGTATCTCCCACCTCCAAGCAATCTTTACAATGCATAATTTGTCTTTGTTTGGCAGCCTCTGGGTGTTGTGCGATGCCCACTTGCAAATCTTGGAAGATGCATTCTGCTGCTTCTGAAATGCTTTTGATGTATGAATGGTTGCAGGAACTGGGCATGGCTAGTCTAGTGAAGGACGCAGGGAGACATGATAGCCGTCTTCCAATATTTGAGGGGCTGCCACAAAGAGGAGGAGGGGGGTCAAGCTATTTTCCAAAGCACCTGAAGGCAGGACAAGGAATAAGGGATGGAACCTGAACAAGGAGAGATTTAACCTGGAAATAAGGAGGAACTTTCTGACAGTGAGAACAATCAACCCATGGAACAGAAGTTGCCTTCGGAAGTTGTGGGAGCTTCATCACTGGAGGCTTTCAAGAAGAGACCGAACTGCCATCTGTCAGAAATGGTGTAGGATCTCCTGCGTGGGTGGGGGGTTGGACTAGATGACCTACAAGGTCCCTTCCAACTCTGTTAATCCGTATAATCTGTAATGTACCTTGTTAGTTCCTTTCTCTCCCCACCGTGTTGAGCAGTCATCTTGCAACAAATAATTGTGGGTACCCGCTTTTGAAATCCCAAAGCTCGCTGCCATCTGCTCCAAGGGTTACCCACCGCTAAGCCGAGGCAACCTTGCCATGTAGGCTTGTCCTCTGTAACCAGGGCTTGGTGGCCACGACCGTAATGGAGATGCTTCCCTCAAGCTGGAGATTCATATCAGAGGTTCTTGGCTCTAAGGCCGGAGTCTATTGTTTGTTTCTCCGCGTTTAGCCATACGAAGCAAATTCCTTCTGATGTTTTCCTTGGGAGGGGACCAGATTCTGCTTTAATATGCCTGTTTAGGAGATGCCAGTTTGTTTGCTGCCTCCGTGGGAAAGAAACAAAGTGCAAAGAAAACCACTTCAGACACAGACTGATTTACTGTCTCTCCCTGTTTACCAGCCAAAAAATAAAAAAAGTAAGAAAATAAATCTCTAGCCATATAAGGGTCTGTCTATTTTCTTTTTCACATTTCCTGAAATGCTATGCCAGGCCTGTGTTCTCTGCAGCATCTCTATATATTACAAAAAGGTGGAGGGACAGTTGTTGTAAATTCTGCACCACAAGGGTTTTGATACTTGAAGCAGTGGTATTCATCCCGGGAAAAGTGAAAATGTGCACATTCTCTTCTAAGAGACCTTCTAACAATATCCCCTTGTTTCATATTCCTTGAAGGATTGGAACTTATTCAGCGGCTCTGTTGGCATATAACACACTCAAACCCAGTTAGTTAAAGACCTAGTGAGTTGCATTCGCATCGTAGTTTGTTTACTGTTCTATCATGACTTAGTGCGTTGGCAAATCTAGAAGGCTGAATTGGTAAATTACAAGTGGTGGCCAAAATTGTGGAAATCTTTTGGGAAAAGTTCATTTTTGAGGTTTGATGGCTAAAAACACCACTTTTTGGGGGGGAGTTTGAAGATAATCCTATTCTGCTGCTGGAATGGCCTGGGAATAGCCCAGATCTTAACCCAATGGAAAATCTATGGAGCTGACTAAAGAAACTTGTTAGTCAGAAGCGATCCAGTAATAAAACTCAGTTAATAGAAGCCACCATTCAATCTTGGTTTCACATTAGAACAGTTGCAGAACTAAAAGGCTTGGTTCACTCCATGGGAAAACATTGTAAGGCCGTCATTCATGCTAAAGGTTACCCAACGAAGTATTAACTGACAGGGTGATAATTTTTGTATATCTCGTTTTTCTATGGAGATAGGTTTTGTATGTCTCCTTTCTTCTACGTGTTTCACTTTTCTTCTTTATACCGTAACTGCTATTCTAATAGCAAACCCTTCATAAAAGTTATTGCATTACATTCTTGGTTCAATTATCTTTCCATTGATATATCATTTTATGGTACCACTCCACAAAAAAGTGGTGCTATTAGCTAAGTTTTAAAAAATACACTTTTCCCAAAAGGTTTCCACAATTTTGACCACTACTGTATGGTTCAATTATTGCACAAACCCAGAAAATAAGTCAAATATAGGCAATCCTAAACTTACAACTATTTGTTTAGTGACCGTTTGAAGTTACAACAGCACTGGAAAAAAATGACTTATGATTATTTTTCACATTTACGACCATTGCAACATGGTCCAGTGGTGGGTTCCTCCCAGTTCGGCCCGGTTCCACCGAGCCGGTAGCGGTGACGATATACCGTGAAGTCAATTTAAGAACCCGATTAAGAGCGTGAGAGGAACACGAGAAATATATTCAGCACATGCCTCCAGAAGACTCTGCTTAGCCTGCTGAGGAGGCAAGCAAAGAATTCAGCAGAGATTCCAGAATAAGGAGTTTGCACGCTATTGAATGTGACTCACATCCACATGGCCTTTGCACATCTACTTTTGCTCAAGTTCAGTGGAGGTGAAGACAGGGGTATGTTGGGCTGCACTCTGAAAAGCTTGATCGGATGGAGCCATGTTTAAAAATGATAGACTTGGCATCATCTGCAGAATAAATCACGATGTATGATAGATACAATTTATATACTTATTTATATATTATAATTGATATCAGAATTATAATGGATTTTTTAAATGCCACGACGGCTCACTATTTTCATGCTTCTCGCATTCTGTCCATGATTTGATGGGAAGCAAAAATACATTTAGAAATATTAGCACGTCTTTATTAAAAATTTCTGGTAGGGGACCTGGATATTGATATTGTTGCCCTTTAATCACTTTGAATTAAAACAATGTTATAGCTCTGATTAAAAAGAACAGTGAAATATCACAAAAATGAATATGATTCTAGAAGTTAACAGTCATTTAAAAAAAATCAAATTTCTAACTTGTAAAAAATTGAATTTGAATAAAATACGACAGTCCGATACAAAATACCCGAGATTCATCTTGTTTCAAGGAAATATGCTGACAAACTTCCAAAATCACAGTAAATGTTTAGAACAGGGTTCCTCAATCTTGATCCCTTTTAAGAGGTTTGGAGCTCAACTCCCAGAATTCCCCAACCAGCCTGCCTTTTATTTATTTATATATTATCATTTATATCCGGTTAAGCAAGCTATAGATCAGTGTTTCTCAACCTTGGTAGCTTGAAGATGGGTGGACTTCAACTCCCAGAATCCCCCAGCCAGCAGCGCTGGCTGGGGGATTCTGGGAGTTGAAGTCCACCCATCTTCAAGCTACCAAGGTTGAGAAACACTACTATAGACAGTGGTGGGATTCAGCCAGTTCGCACCAATTCGGGAGAACCAGTTGTTAACTTTCTGAGCAGTTGGCAAACTGGTTGTTGGAAGAAATCATTAGGGCAGAGAACCGGTTGTTAAATTACTTGAATCCCACCACTGGCTATAAGATAGTCCTTGACCTATGACCAAAATCAGGACCAGAATTTCCACTGCTAAGCAAGTTGATCGTTAAGTGAGTTAAGTGCCCCATGTTATGACATTTTCGCCATTGTAGTTAAGAAAAATCACTGCAGCTGCTAAGTGAATCACAGTTGTTAAGCAAATCTGGCTCCTGCCATTGACGTTGCTTGACGGACATTGGCTGGGAAGGTCTCAAATGACGATTACGTGACCCGGGGACACTGCAGATATGTACTGATTGCCAAGTGCCCAAAATTTGATCATGTGACCATGAGGATGCTGCAATGGTCATAAATGCAAGGACAGGTCATAAGTCGCTTTTGCTCCGTGCTGCTGTAACATTGACTAGTCGCTAAAGGAATGGTTGTAAGTCAGGAACTACCTTATTGCATATCACAATTGTTTCACTCTGTTGCCTTCACTTTACAGATCTAATCACTATATCCGGTACCTTTTAATAGCAATAGCACTTAGACTTATATACCGCTTCACAGTGCTTTGCAGCCTTTTCTAAGCGGTTTACAGAGTCAGCAGAATCCTCCCCCAACAATTTGGGTCCTCATTTTACCCACCTCGGAAAGATGGAAGGCTGAGTCAACCTTGAGCCTGCTGAGATTCGAACTGCTGAATTGCAGGCAGTCAGCAGAAGCAGCTTGCAGTACTGCACTCTAACCACTGCGCCACCGTGGCTCATAATAGCTGCTAAAGGAAGGTTGTTAAGTCAAGGACTGCCTGTATTTTCAATTAAAACGTGCCTGCCTAACTCTATTCTCCCTGGCAGCAGCTCAACCCAGAGTTGGCTTACTTCAAAATTTAACAGAATAGCAGAGTTGGAAGGGACTTTAGAGGTCTTCTAGTCCAACTCCGTGCTCAAGCAAAAAACCCTGAACCATTTCAGACAAACGGCTCTTCTTAAAAAACTCCAGTGATGGAGCATCCACAACTTCTGGAGACAAGCAGTTCCACTGTTTAATTGTTCTCACTGTTAGGAAATTTCTCCTCAGTTCTAGGTTGAATCTAGAACTCTTTGATGAGCTTCCATCCGTTACTTCTTGTCTTACCTTCCGGTACTTAGGAAAATAAGTCAACCCGGTCCTCCCCATCACAAGCCCCTCAAGTATTGGAAGACAGCTATCATGCATGTCACCCTTAATCATTTTTTTTTTCATTAGACTTTCACTGGTTAATTGTCCTCATTGTTAGGAAATTGCTCCTTAATTCTAGGTTGCTTCTCTCCTTGATCTAAGGTGGCAACATCTGCTATCTTTCGTAAATCAAAGACACTATCTCATTGCTCTCCTGCGGAGACCAGAAAAAGGGTGTGGGGGGAGAGATAATGTGGGAGAAAATATTGCTCATGAAAACCCCAACTGCATTTTTGGTCTTTTTTTCAGCTTCCCTATTGCATGCATTATGCAGGCATCAATTACCAGGAATATTAGCTTGGCTGAAGTTAAAGAGTGAATTGCAAAATAGCTTCTTCTGCTTTTTTGCTGTTTGGAATGCGAAGTCCTTTAAAAAAAAAAAATCATAGATTTAAATGTTAAATTTAATTGACTGCTTTTTCCTCTCTTTTTTAAAAAATAATTTTTTATTAAACAGTTTTTGTTTAAACAAATTTTTTTTTTACAATTTTCTTCTTTTCAATAGTTTTGCATCAGTAAACATGTCTTATATATCCATTTTTCTCCCTTACTTCAATTCACCATTTATACATATGATTTTAATATTTATATACATAGAGATAACAATGCACTCAATTTCAATCATGCATTCTGCATCCGTTCCATTTCCCCTTGTTTGTTACTACATTTCAACTCCTATATCTTCCCTCTCTTTTTTTTGTATGCTATTTTTTGCTTTTTGTTGTTGTTCTTATTATTAGGGCTGAATGTATGTTTTTGTTTCATTTTGTTTCTTTTACTTTTTGTGTTTTATTCCTTAGGGATGCGAAGTTCTTAAATCTGTGATGCACGGGAGATGGGCTTCTTATTTGGGATGTGTGGCAGTGGTGGGTTTCAAATTTTTTTACTACCGGTTCTGTGGGTGTGGCTTGGTGGACGTGGCATGGCTTAGTGGACGTGGCAGGGAAAGGATACCGTAAAATCTCCATTCCCACCCTACTCCAGGGGAAGGATACTGTAAAATCACCATTCCCTCCCCAATCCAGGGGAAGGATACTGCAAAATCACCATTTCCTCCCAATCAGCTGGGACTCGGGAGGCAGAGAATAGATGGGAGCGGAACCAGTCAGGAATTTTACTACCGGTTCTCCGAACTACTCAAAATTTCCGCTACCGGTTCTCCAGGACTTGTCAGAACCTGCTGAAACCCACCTCTGGTGTGTGGCCTTTTGGACAGACGTGTCCTTAAAATTTGGAAAAGCTTGGAAAATAAACCCTTTTTTTCCTTGACTCGCTGGGAGATTGGCTCAGTCCTGCCCCCCATCCCCACTTCAAGAGAAGTGGGGAAGGCGATTTTGGGGCGGTAGAGTTCTTTAGGCCTCTTTGCTGATGGTGGGGAGGTGAGGGGGAAATACCCCGCCCTGAAATATTACAGCGAGTCAAGAAAAGAGGTACCTCTCCTTTCCAAATGTGTCAGTCACCTCAGCCCGAGCAAATCCTCCCAATCCTTAGCATAGCCTCAATTCTTACCTCTACAGCATTCCCAGCGTCCGCCTCTGTTCCGTAAGGCTCTTCCGTCCCACGGTTGCCAAGTTGGCACATCTGGATCGTGTTAGTTCTGGCATTCCTCTCGACGTATAGCTTGGGAAACGTAGCCGAGCTATAGCAAAGGAGCTGCTTCTTCCTTCTGGTGCATTTCACCGAGGATCCTACTTTCTCTCAACGGGATTACATGGGAACAGGGCTCGCTGGCCTCCTCTTCCTCCTCCACCCCCTCTCTTCCCCAACTCCTGCCCAAAGCTCCTCGCGCTCGCCCGATGAGAGAAAAATCTCAGCTCTGCCTAACGCCAGGCAGCTGAGCTGGCCTCGGGTCCTGCTCACGTGTCATCTGAGCAGATGTTTCGGGTCAAAAAGGCTTGTCTATGTACTTGGTAGCCTGCCCTGTACAGATGTTTGCCAGCAGCAGCAGCAAAAATAAATAAATAAATAAATTGGCAGGATCCGTGTGCCGATGGGGATTGTTCGGTACACAGAACCTCTGCTGGATGGCCTTGCCAGAACTGGATGGACAATTCGGCTATTTTTTTCCCCCTTTTTTAAAAAAAATATCATAGTCATAGTACACTTCTGGCAGAATTTCCACCTTGGAACTCCCCCAAGTTCAAGGCTTAGAGTGCTTTCTAAGACAGAATAGAAACAGACACACAAACACATATATATTCACACACACACCAGAGGTGGGTTGCAGCAGGTTCTGACCAGTTCTGGAGAACCGGTAGCGGAAATTTTGAGTAGTTCGGAGAACCGATAGTAAAAATTCTGACTGGCCCCACCCCCATCTATTCTCTGCCTCCCGAGTCCCAGCTGATCGGGAGGAAGTGGGGATTTTGCAGTAACCTTTCCCTGGAGTGGGGTGGGAATGGAGATTTTATAGTATCCTTCCCCTGCCACATCCACCAAGCCACACCCACCAAGCCACACCCACAGAACCGCTAGTAACAATTTTTGAAACCCACCACTGACACACACATAGCAGGTGGTTAAAGAATATAAATGCTTTTGTTTCCACATGGAAACAGTTTCTGAACTTTGTGCTTGTGGAAAAGAACGAAACTTTGATTTTGGGTTTTTTACCAGTGAGACTGATAGATCTTTATAGAAATGACTTGTTCATCTATATATATAAAAGAGAAATACCACTCGTGCATTAATCACAAAATCTCCAGAACCGTAAAGCCTACAAACGTGAAATTTGCCACGTATGTTCCTCTTGGCTTCTAGGTGCTCATTAAGAAAGGATTTTTTGAAATGACCATCAGAGCATTAATATTTCCTATATTATGATTCATACTCTCTGATGCTAAGGAGTTCTACTCCCCCTCCCCACCTCAAAAGAAATGTTCCAAATGCAAAACACAAGCAGAGGAGAGGAGTTTCACTTTCAGTTTTACTTTCACAGCAGCAAGCAGCTTTACTACAGAACAGTTGAGCTAAGCCACGCCCAGCCTCCTTCCTGTGTCCTTCTTGCTCACACAGCAAATACTGTTTGAGTTTCCAAACACCCCTCAACTCTCTCACACACTGACAGGATGCTAGCCAGATGAATACCGATGATTCTACTCCCCCTCTCTCTCTGTTCCAACTGCCAGTTGCATTATATTAACACACTCTGATGCTACGGAGTTATACATTCTACATTAAGTTTTAGGCTGCAAGTGTCAATTGATCAAGCCCGAGCACATAGTTTCGTAGCGAAGCACAGGCGTCCAGCTAGTATTATGAAAAAACAAAAAGCTGTGATTTGATGCTAATGCCTTATTTTACTGCAAAAGAGAGTTGGAAGTCAATGCTATTTTTTTTTCTTATCCTCCCTCACTTCTTTTCCCCCTCTTCCTCCCCACCGTTTTCCTATTTTGTATCTTATTTTATAACACAATAAAAATGTTAAAACTTCTTCAGAACTAATGGCAGACTCAGATAGTGAGGTTGGGGAGGGAAATGGGCCAGTCTTGGAGTCTGGGGAAGGCTCTGATGAGTGCTTTGCATCGATGGGGCCAGGGCCATCCTACCTTCGGAGTCAGACATCAGTGGGGCTGAAGAACAGCTGGAGCCTGTTCCCCATGTGCGCATGCGCAGAGCTGCCAGGAGAAGGGAACAGCTAAGGGACAAGGGTCGAATTGGGAGTAAGGCCACAGGTGGACGATGAATGGCCTCTCCCAGATGGAATAAAAGAGGAGCGAAAGGGGAGAGGAGTTTTTAGGAGACAATTAGTTCACCTAATTGGTTCGTGACTCTCAAGAGATTTCTTGCCAAGTTTTGAAGGTATCGGCCTGGCAACTCTCCAGGCCAGATAAGGTCTGTGACTGTAAATTCTCCCTTGAAAGACTGCTGAGTGTGAATGAGAGGAATTCACAATAACTTAATAAAAAGGGGTTTTTGTCGGCTCAAGGAGTCTGCTTCATGGTCTTAGGAAGTCTAAATCAGAACAAAACTTAAAAAAATATCATAGTAGATGCAGCTCTTTGTCCAAAGGGAAATGATTAAGCAGCAGAGCTTCAGTGGAGAGATTGACAACCTATTATGGAATATAGGTTGGTGAAACTGACAGATTTCTATATAATCTGCAATAACTATAATCTGATTATAATCTCCTGATTATAATGCAGTTCAATCCTTTTTAATGCTGAACAGAGCATGGGTTTGATTATTTTGATTTAAAAACCAACAATGATTCCACATTGAAGGCTAAAAAGAAAACAAATCCAATTATATCCACTAGCTAGGTGCATTATGAGAAGCTCTGGGACATACAGCAAAATAGTTTAAAGAATGAAAATTAAAAATCAGTACAAAATTAGTAAGTCTTTTGACGATTTATTTACGATAATTGAGCCCAAATTTTCTCTTCCTAAGCGAGATATTTAAGTTAGTTTTGCCTCATTTTATGACCCTTCCTGCCGCCGTTGTTAAGTGAATCATTGCAGTTGTTAAATTAGTAACCCGGTTGTTAAGTGAATCTGGCTTCCCTGCAGACTTGGCTTGTCAGAAGGTCGCAAAAGGGGATCATGTGATCCTGGAATACAGCAACCGTCATAAGTATGAATCAATTGCCAAGCATCTGAATTTTGTTCTTGTGATCAGGAGGATGCTACAGTGGTCGCAAGTGTGAAACACAGATCATAAGCCACTTTTTTCAGTGATGTTGTAACTTTGAATGGTGACTAAATGAATGTAAGTCAGGATTACCTGTAGTAGCTGGGAAAAATACCCATATTTTTCAGACTATACGACGCACCTAAATTTACAGGAGGAAAACAAGAAAAAAATAGTTTTTGGCCTCCGCGCGTCCATTTTGGCCTGCAGAGTGCTTCTGGGGGCCAGGAATGGCGAAAACGTCCGTATTCGGTCTATAAGATACACCTAAATTTTCACCCACTTTTAGGGGGAAAAAAGGTGCGTCTTATACTCCAAAAACTACGGTAAGTTTAAGCAATAGTTTTCCCGCTGTTCAGCTATGAGCAGAATTATTACTTTTTTTTTTTAATGCCATGACGGCTTACTATTTTCATGCTCTTCCTTCTCGTATTCTATCCATGATTTGATGGGAAACAAAAATATATTTTGAATATTAGCACATCTTTATTAAAATCTCTGGTAGGCAACTGGGATATTGATATTGTTCCCTTTTAATCACTTTGAATTAAAACAAATGTACAGGTCTGATTAAAAAGAACAGTGAAATATTAGTGAAATTCCCTGTTTCCCCGAAAATAAGATATCCCCTAATAATAAGCCCAATTGGGCTCTTGAGCGCATGCATTAAAATAAGCCTTCCCCTGAAAATAAGCCCTCCCCGAAAACATTTAAACGCAGAGCTGGAAATCAGGTAAGACGACAAGAGAAGCCCCATCTTGCTCCAAGCACCCCAAAATAAGACCTCCCCAAAAATAAGGCCAAGCACTTATTCCGGGGTTCAAAAAAATATAAGACAGGGTCTTATTTTAGGGAAAACAAGGTATCAGCAAAATGCATACAATTCTAGAAGTTAACAGTCATTTACAATAAGACTTTAAAAGCCTTCATCAAAACAGAAAGTTTCTTCCTAGAGTTAAAAAAAAAATAGTACTATAGCATTATATGCTCTTGGAATTTTTTTTTTAAACATAAAAGAGATGAGGTTTTAATCATTGTCAAATTATAACCGTTAGTATTTGATTTAACATTAGAGCATTATAGTGCTAATACGTTAAACGTTGCTCCATGTTTTAGCACTAATTAAAAGACTAAGAGAAGCAAGCAATTAAGGACAGCAACTATAAAGATTAAAGTGAACATGTGCTCAATTTCCCTGCTCAACTTTTTAAAAAAATAGTCAAATCATTCTCAGGCAGACCAAGCTTTTTTGTTTCGAGCAAAATAAAAATAAAAATAAAATTTCTACTTTTAAAAAATCGAATTTGAATAAAATACAACCGTTTTATACAAAATACCTGAGACTCATCTTATTTTAATGAAATATGCTGACAAGTTTCCATGGTCACAGAAACTGTATTAGAACATTAATCTTGGTAACTTTTAAGAGGTTTGGACTTCAATTCCCAGAATTCCCCAGCCAGCATGCTGGGGAATTCTGGGAGTTGAAGTCCAAACCTCTTAAAATTGCTGAGAAACACTGGTATAAAAGTATCCTCTTGGATAACTCAAGAGATTGAAAATGCCAGTGTAGAAAAATCTGTTAGTGTAAATAATGCCCTGGTTGGGCGGCGGGTTGGACTAGATGACCTACAAGGTCCCTTCCAACTCTGTTACCCAGGAATGGGTCAGACTTTCATTCTCAACCCGTTATTGTGTTTATGAATGAATGATTCATTTTTATCAGTCTTCGCTTAGAAGCATCAGTTGGGACTTTCAATGTAAACATCTAAGCACTTTAAGACTGGTGGACTTCAACTCCCAGAATTCCCCAGTCAGCTCTACAAGGCTGGGGAATTCTGGGAGTTGAAGTCCACCAGTCTTAAAAATTGCCAGATTGGACATCCCCGATTTAAGTCCTTCAACAGCAAATAGACTTAAGCTCGTATCAATCAGGAACTCGTAGCTCAAGGTCTCCTTGAAATGGTTCCCCTGAGGTAATTTATGAGAGTCTGTAATAACATAACAAATCTATTTAGGAAACGGAGAACATCTCATCAACCTGGAGGATCATAAATTTCCCAACGTTGACGGAGATGCCTGATCTGTAGTTGATTGAATCACACACATACGAAGACCATGAATGGATTCTCATGAGTTGAAAATGAAAATATATCTGGGCTATTCTTTATTTCATCAATGGTCTCCTCAGTTACTCAGAAGGCCTCTTGAAGACTAGGAGAACATCAAAGTTAAATCTGCCATTTGATCACGATAGGGGGGAAGAGAGAATCATAGGGCTGGAAGGGACTTTGGAGGTCTTTTGGTCAAACTAGTCCGAGGCCAGGAGACCACGTATCATCCAGGACAGATGACTCTCCAATCTTTTCTTGGAAACCTTCGATGATGGAGTACCCACAACTCTAGAAAGCAAGCTGTTCAGGGGGTTCAGGAGAAGCTCTAGCTAAGATTCTGTGCAGTTCGGAGAACCCCAAATCCCACTCCTGGCTGGCCTCGCCCACCCTGCCCCTCCCAGGAGTCCTCATGCGGCCCGTTTTGGATGCAGGTAAGTGGAGAGTGAGCGCGAAGGCTCGGGGAGGGCGAAAAACGGGCCTAACGGAAGTTTGGAAAAAACGGGCCTAACGGAAGTTTGGAAAAAAAACGGGCCTAACGGAAGTTCGGGCCCGTTTCCAGCCTCCAGAGGGCCTCCGGAGCCTGGGGAGGTTGTTTTTGCTGTCCCGGAGGCTTGAGAAAAGCCTCTGGAACCCGGGGAGGGCAAAAACGCCTCCCCCACCATGGTGCAGGCTGACTAGGCCACACCCACCCAGAGAATCCCTTGCTAAAATTTTTGAAGCCCACCCCAGCAGCTGTTCTATTATTAATTGTTCTGTCAGGAAATTCCTCCTTATTTCCAGGTTGGGGGTCTCCCTCTGATAAGGACCCATCCCTTCTCATTCTACCCACCCTCTCCTGTGCTTACAGGTATCTCCTGAATCTGAGAGTGTCTGGTGAAGTGATCTTTTCCATTTCCAATTAGAAGGACCTCTGCTCTTTCAGAGCAGGCTTGCAAGTTCTTGTTGAAACCCTACTTGATCTTCCAGTTTGACTTCAGGATTTTGGACTTGATTCTTGATAGGAAGAAGCCGTAGCTGATCAGGGACTGAATAAGATGCACAAGAAAGTCCAGTGGGAGGATCAATCCAGGGGTGAAATCCAGCAGGTTCTGACAGGTTCTGGTAGCGGAAATTTTGAGTAGTTCGGAGAACCGGCAAATAGCATCTCTGGCTGGTCCCAGAGTGGGGTGGGAATGGAGATTTTGCAATATCCTTCCCCCAGGAGTGGGGAAGGAATGGGGATTTTGCAGTATCCTTCCCCCAGGAATGGGGATTTTGCAATATCCTTCCCCCAGGAATAGGGTGGGAATGGGGATTTTGCAGTATCCTTCCCCCAGGAATGGGAAGGGAATGGAGATTTTGCAATATCCTTCCCCCAGGAATGGGGTGGGAATGGAGATTTTATTTATTTATTTATTTATTTATTTATTTATTTATTTATTTATTTATTATTCGTATTTCTATGCCGCCCACTCTCCGAGGACTCTGGGTGGCTTACACCAAAGACAGTATACTAAATAGCATATTGCCCCCCAACAATCTGGGTCCTCATTTTACCCACCTCGGAAGGATGGAAGGGTGAGTCAACCTTCAGCCGGTGAGATTTGATCCGCTGATCTGCTGAACTAGCAGTCAGCTGAAGTAGCTGCAGTACAGCACTCTAACCACTGCGCCACCTCGGCTCTTACAGTATCCTTCCCCCAGGAATGGGGAGGGAATGGGGATTTTGCAGTATCCTTCCTCCAGGAGTGGCGAGGGAATGGGGATTTTGCAGTATCCTTCCCCTGCCACGGCCACCAAGCCACACCAAGCCACGCCCACAGAACCGGTAGTAAAAAAAATTGGATCTCACCGCTGGATCAACACAGAGGCACAAAGCAGTCTCTAAAAAAACACTTTTTTTTCCTTCTTCTTCTTCTTCTTCACAAGTCACTTTGGTGGAGACCCAAAAGTTCTTCGGCTAAGTTGATGAGGCCGTTGTCTTCCAAGGCAGCCACCAGGCACCGAATGGTGGCCTTTTTGCCTTCCGAGTCAATATACCTGCGTAGCAACTGGTACGCTTGTTCGTAGAGGCCTTCGCGCTCGTATTCGACGGCGAGGTTATCGATGAAGGGATCCCGCAGGGCTCGGCATTTGGTCTGCAGGTAGAGGGACCGGCCCACCTGCTTCCATTTCTTGGATACCAGTTTGGCGAACTTCTGGTGGTCATCGGGGGCGATTTTTCTGTTGGCTGCACGAGGGAGCCAGAAAATAAAAATTATTGTAACCTCTTGCATACCTCTCGTTGACAAAGGTTATGTTTAGGCTGCAGTTCTGTGCACGGCCTCTCCCACCTCTCTCCCATGCTGCACAGGCAGTCCTCGACTTCCTGTCTTTCAGGGACCATTTGAAGTTAACAACAGCACCCAAAAATGACCATTCTTCACACTTACGACCGTTGTAGCTTCCTGTAACCATTATTCGTTATGTTTTTGCCTCCAGCCCCCTAATCCTCTTTGTTGCTCTTCTCTGCACTCATTCACCCTGGAATACATTTTTTAAAAGCTCCATGGGAGGAAAGGGTACACATTCTTGGGGGGGGGGGGCGTTTCAAGGTTGCACAAGGGCTGCCTGCCACCCCACAAGCTGAATTTCCGGCAAAATTTCTCTAGGGAAAAGTTTTATTCAACACGAACTTTTATACTGTGCAAAGAAACTGTTTTCAGTGCGCCCTCTAGGGGGAGGCTGAAGAAATACACCGTTATTTAAAGCTTTTACTATCATTGGTGGCACAGTGGTTAGAATGCTTTTCTGTTGACTGCCGGCTGCCAGCAGTTCAATTCTCAGCGGCTCAGGGCTGACTCAGCCTTCTGTCCTTCCGAGGCGGGTAAAATGACCCAAGTTGTTGGGGACAATATGCTGACTCTGTAAATCGCTCAGAGAAGGCTGGAAAATACTGTGAAGCGGTATATGAGTCTAAGACGGTGCTATTGATATTTCTATTGTAGTTCTCCACTTACAACCAGTGGTGGGGTTCAAATAATTTAACAACAGGTTCTCTGGGCGTGGCCAGATGGTTGTGGCTGGGTGCTCATGTGACTTGGTGGGTATGGCCAAGTGGCCATGTGATTGGGTGGACGTGGCCAGGCATCATGTGACTGGTAGGCGTGGCCATGTGGCTGGGTGCATGGTCAGGTGGTCATGTTACTCGGTGGGTGTGGCCAAGTGGTCATGTGACAGGAGTGTGGCCAAGTGACTGGGTGGGCATGGCCATGTGACTGGGTGGGTGTGGCCATGTGACTGGGTGGGAGTGGCTGGGTGCCATGTGACTGGGGGGTGGCAGGTGGTCATATAACTTGGTGGGTGTGCCCATGTGACTTGGTGGGCGTGCCCAGGTGACCATGACTTGGTGGGCATGGCCAGGAGGTCATGTGACTGGGGGGGCGTGGCCAGGCACCTGGTGGCCATGTGACTGGGTGGGTGTGACCATGTGACTGGGTGGGCATGACCATGTGACTGGGGGCATGGACAGGTGGCCATGTGACTGGATGGGTGTGTCCAAGTGACCATGTGACTGGTGGGCATTGCAGGGCGGGCATGTTACTGGATGGGTGTGGCCAAGTGCCAGGTAGAATATGATTAGTCTGTGGGTGTTCCAGCAGATTTGACAATAGGAAATATTTCTATTTCCATCTCTGTTCAATCTCTGTTTTATTCTATTAAAAAATTGATAGTAGATGAATAAGACATGGATGCCATTTTCTATTTGAACTTCAGGAAGCCTCTCATTTGATTTCTGCACTAGCACTGATACAAATAAACCCCAGCTTTGTTTCTAATATTTCACCCAGATGTTTAACCTATTCTTTAAACTCTTAGTTGAACCATACTGACAAGGAATTAAGCTTAATCTGAATCCAGATTAAGGTGCAGGAATTTAATCCATGTCCTCTGATTTTATAGAACCATTTGTTCCAACAAACAAATCACATTCAAACAGTTTAGAAAATTTATTTGATTGCTATACCAAAATATAAGTAGAAAGAATGACATAACACAAACTCCACCCAAAGGAACTTGCAACATCATAACTCATAGTGGGTACTCCATCACTAGATGCTTTCACTAGTACTCACTCCAGATTTTCTCCCAAGCATAACGCTGGCACCATCGGAGCAAAATCCTATTAATTTTTTTTTTCTAGGTGGTTCTTAGTAAGCCCAACATTATTTAAACTTTCCATAACTGAAGAATGTATTGTCTGTGCATCTTGTTTTTCCAATTCAACTAGCTCAGGGAAAATTGTTGGTGAGGTAACCGAATCCTCAACTTTTAAGAAAAGTAGAACAATTGGTTTGCAAGATATCGCTGAGGCTTCATCAATAATCTAACATATTTCCAGATTATTTTCAATAATTTTAGTAAATAAGTTTTGTTTATTTCTTTTGCAATGAAATCAACCATTTTCACTGCAGTTTTACATGAATGTAATACCATTCCCATATCTAATCCATTTATCATTTGCATGTCTATGTCATCTCCTATGACTGAAAATGGTTTTACATCTTTGTGCCAGGTTCTAAACTGTAATAAATTCTCTACGACTAGTACCTACATGTTTTTCAGTCATCTTATCTAATCTTTCCTAATTAAGATTACTTTACATGAGCCAAGGTCTTAGAGAAGTGAGGGAAACGCGCAGACAGCATGGATGGATGGATAGATGGATGGAAGGAAGGGCAATAGCAATAGCACTTAGACTTATATACTGCTTCACAGTGCTTTCCAGCCCTCTCTAAGCGGTTTACAGAGTCAGCCTCTTGCCCCCAACCATCTGGGTCCTCATTTTACTCACCTTGGAAGGATGGAAGGCTGAGTCAACCTTGAGCTGGTCAAGATTGAACTGCTGACAGTGGACGGAGTTTGCCTGCAATACTGTATTCTAACCACTGTGCATCATGGATGGATGGATGGATGGATGGAAGGAAGGAAGGAAGGAAGGAAGGAAGGAAGGAAGGAAGGAAGGAAGATAGCAATAGCACTTAGATTTATATACTGCTTTACAGTGCTTTCCAGCCTTCTCTAAGCGGTTTTACAGAGTCAGCCTTTTGCCCCCAACAATCTGGGTTCTCATTTTACCAACCTCGGAAGGATGGAAGGCTGAGTCAGCCTTAAGCCGGTCAGGATCGAACTGTTGGCATTGGGTAGAGTTAGCCTTCAATACTGCATTCCAACCCCTGCGTCACCAAGGAAAGGAGGAAGGCAGGAAGGGAGGGAGGGAAGAACGAAAGAAGGGCAATAGCAATAGCACTTAGACTTATATACTGCTTCACAGTGCTTTCCAGCCCTCTCTAAGCAGTTTACAGAGTCAGCCTCTTACCCCCAACCATCTGGGTCCTCATTTTACTCACCTTGGAAGGACGGAAGGCTGAGTCAACCTTGAGTTGGTCAAGATCGAACTGCTGACAGTGGACGGAGTTTGCCTGCAATACTGCATTCTAACCACTGTGCATCATGGATGGATGGATATGGATGGATGGAAGGAAGGAAGGAAGGGCAATAGCCATAGCCCTTAGACTTATACCCTGCTTCACAGTGCTTTCCAGCCCTCTCTAAGCGGTTTACAGATTCAGCCTCTTGCCCCCAACAATCTGGGTCCTCATTTTACCCACCTCGGAAGGCTGGAAGGCTGAGCCAACCTAACAACCATCCAAAGGATGATCACATGACCCTGGGACACTGCAACTGTTATAAAAAACATGCCAGTTGCCAAAGCATGTGAACACTGGGATGCTGCCACAGTCACAAGTGGGAAAAACGATCTTGTCACTTTTTTCGGTGCCTCTGTAAGTTGGAACGGTCACTAAACGAATGGCTTTTAAATTGAGAATTACCTGTACAATCCTTGTGGAGAACCTACTGAATATGTCTGTACCCGCTTCGGCCTTCCATGCGTTACCTCTCCCAAGCATTTTCGTCTCAAGTCCTTGCCTGAAACACTCACCAAATTGCTGGTTCTGGAAAAAGAAGATATCTTCTTCAACCGAAGTCTTTGAAATCTCCGGAGGGCCAGAAGACGGAGGGGAGGAATTTAAAGAGGGGAGGGAAGAATCTGACGAGAGCTGCCATTTCAGGGATGGAGAGACGCTTTGTTGAAATGAAAGGTTCACGAGACAGGCTTCCAGCTCTGCTACAGCTTCATCTATAAGATGATCCGGCTTCAAAAAAAGAAAGACAGTGAGAGACATGACGGGAGGGAGGGGCAAAGTTTCTGTAAATTCTTTTCTTTCTTTGCTGCATGCGTTAGTTAGCATTTCTCTAATCTGAATAGCAATAGCACTTAGACTTATACACTGCTTCATAGTGCTTTTACAACCCTCTCTAAGTGATTTACAAACTCAGCCGCTTGCCCCCAACAATCTGGGTCCTCGTTTTACCCACCTTGGAAGGATGGAAGGCTGAGCCAACCTTTGAGCCGGTCAAGATCGAACTGCTGGCAGTGGGCAGAGTCAGCCTGCAATACTGGATGGATGGATGGATGGAAGGAAGGGCAATAGCACTTAGACTTATATACCGCTTTACAGTGCTTTACAGCCCTCTCTAAGTGTTTTACGGAGTCAGCCTATTTCCCCCAACAATCTGGGTCCTCGTTTTACCCACCTCGGAAGGATGGAAGGCTGACTCAATCTCTTGAGCCAGTGACATTTGAACTGCTGAATTGCAGCTAGCAGTCAGATGAAGTAGCCTGCAGTACTGCACTCTAACCACTGCGCCATCTCGGCTCTTATAACAGAATAACAGAGTTGGAAGGGAACTCAAGAGGTCTTCTAGTCCACCAATGGAACAGAAGTTGCCTTCGGAAGTTGTGGGAGCTTCATCAATGGAGGCTCTCAAGAAGGCACTGGACCTTTGTTTATGTGGACACAGGGCCTGCATTTAAGCGGCTGCTTATTTCAGATTCTGACACTTACCTTCTCGCCAGAGATGCTTTCCAGACAACGTTGTTCTTCTTGGATGATGGAATCCAACTTTTCAGCACCAGCCCTCAGCTCCGTCTTGAGGAGCTCCAGGCTGGGCAAGGACAAGTAGATCTTGAGGCACTTCTGGAGAGCTTCTTGAACTTCTCCTTGCTGGTAGCTTTGCAGGAACTTTCTGCAGTTCTCTTGCTTGTTGAATTTCAGCTGGATGATCAAATCGGGATCACTACAATGGACCTTCAGAATATCCACCCTGCTGAAGTCCCCTATGGATTCTGTGGTGGAAAGAAGGGAAAAATGGAAGATGAGTCAGATGGTTTACTGCTGGTTGCTGCAGCAGAAGATCGAAGCCACTGTCTTTCAAACTCGGCAATGTTAAGACATGTGGACTTCAACTTCCAGAAGACCAGCTGGGGAATTCTGGGATTTGAAGCCCATATCTTTTAAAGTTGCCAGGTTTCAAAAATGCTGCTACAGGCAACGGTTATATCCTTGAATAAGTCCTCTCTGGAGGAGGAGCTTGTGGGGAGGTCAGCTGGGACTGCGTCTAAGGAGGAGGAAGAAGAAAAGCAGAAGTCTCTTCTGCAAGGCAACTTGCATCAACAGTACACCAGGTTCTTGGAACCATTTCTGAGTGCTCCTGAACTCTGCCTTCCTGTAATGTCGGCACCGTGAAACTGTGGACAGTGGCAGGTCAAAAATGAGACAAAACTCATTTTGATTGTTTGGAAGAGTTCCTTGGGAGTAGCGATCTATTCTGGAACAAGTGCTCCACTTAGGTGTAGATTGTTATTCTTTTTTTTTTTTTAATTTTAATTTTTAAATAACATACATAAAAACCATCTTACATTGCAAACAGTGTGTCGGTTGGTTACAAGTCTTTTGTGCCTCTACACCAAATTCATAGTTTACAATTTACAGTTTACCTAAATTCTCATATCATCGACCTAATATATATCTATATATTATTATCTTCATTTATTTATTTATTTATTTATTTATTAAATTTCTATACCGCCCTTCTCCAATAGGACTCAGGGCGGTGCACAGCCAAGATAAAAACAAAGCATACAAAATTTAAGAACAGTATTAAAATAATTAAATATTTTGGCCGAAATTAAGATAACCCAATTTAAAATCAATTTAAAATTTAACTCAGGCCAGCCCAGCTTGTTGAAATAAATAGGTTTTCAGGGCCCGACGAAAAATCCGGAGGTCTGTTATTATACGTAACTCTGGGGGAAGGTTGTTCCAGAGGGTGGGCGCCGTCACAGAGAAGGCTCTCCCCCTGGGGGTCGCCAGCCGACATTGTCTGGCGGACGGCACCCTGAGGAGGCCCACTCTGTGCGAGCGTACTGGCCGGTGGGAGGCTATTGGTGGCAGAAGGTGGTCTCGTAAATACCCCGGCCCTAAGCCATGGAGCGCTTTAAAGGTGGTCACCAACACCTTGAAGCGCACCCGGAAGACCACTGGGAGCCAGTGCAGCTCGCGCAGGAGAGGTGTCACATGGGAGCGCCTCGTCGCCCCCATAATCCCCCGCGCGGCCGCGTTCTGGACCAGCTGCAGCCTCCGGGTGCACCCCAGGGGGAGCCCCATGTAGAGAGCGTTGCAGTAGTCCAGGCGGGAAATGACTAGTGCCTGAGTGACTGTGCGTAGAGAGTCCCGATCTAGAAAGGGGCGCAGCTGGCGTATCAGGCGAACCTGATAAAAAGCCCCCCTGGCCACGGCCGTCAAATGATCTTCTAAAGACAGCCGTGCGTCCAGGAGGACGCCCAAGTTGCGAGCCCTCTCCGTGGGGGCGAGTGATTCGCCCCCAATAGCCAGCGATGGCGTCAGCTGGCTATATCGGGACGCTGGAAGCCACAGCCACTCGGTTTTGGAGGGGTTGAGTCGGAGCCTGTTTCTCCCCATCCAGGCCCGCACGGCCTCCAGACACTGGGACATCACTTCAAGGGCATCGTTGGGGTGGCCTGGGGTGGAGATGTACAGCTGGGTGTCATCAGCGTACTGATGGAACTCCACCCCAAAGCCACGGATGATCTCACCCAGCGGCTTTACATAAATGTTGAACAGAAGGGGCGAGAGGACCGACCCTTGTGGCACCCCACAAGCAAGGTGCCTCGGGGTCGACCGCTGCCCCCCCGTCAACACAGATTGCGACCGGTCAGAGAGGTAGGAGGAGAACCACCGCAGAACGGTGCCCCCCACCCCTAACCCCGCCAACCGGTGCAACATGATACCATGGTCGATGGTATCAAAAGCCGCTGAGAGGTCTAACAGGACCAGGATAGAGGAGCAACCCCTATCCCGAGCCCTCCAGAGATCATCCACCAACGCGACCAATGCCGTTTCCGTGCTGTGCCCAGGCCGGAAGCCGGACTGGAGCGGGTCTAGATAGACAGCTTCATCCAGGTACCGGGGAAGCTGTTGCGCCACCACACTCTCAACAACCTTCGCAACAAAGCGAAGGTTGGAGACTGGACGATAGTTAGCCAAAACAGCCGGATCCAGAGAGGGCTTCTTGAGGAGGGGCCTCACAACCGCTTCTTTCAAAGCGGCCGGCAGGACCCCCTCACTCAAAGAAGCGTTAACAATCTTCTGGAGCCAGCCTCGTGTCACCTCCCGGGAAGCCAGTACCAACCAGGAGGGACACGGGTCCAATAAACATGTGGTCGCGTTCAGCCATCCCAGGACCCTGTCCATGTCCTCGGGAGCCACAGGATCGAACTCCCCCCAGATAACACTCTCAAGACCTGCCTCAGTCATCCCGTCCGGACATACCCAGTCAGAGGCCAGTCCTTCCCGAATCTGAGCGATTTTGTCATACAGATACTGCACAAAGTCCTCGGCTCGGCCCTGCAAGGGGTCATCCCGCGCTTCCAGATGGAGGAGGGAGCGGGTCACCCTAAACAGGGCGGCCGGGCGATTATCTGATGACGCGATAAGAGCGGCAAAATAACTAGATTTCGCTGCTTTTATCGCCACTAGGTAGGTCTTAATATGAGACCTCACCAGTGTTCGGTCGGATTCGGAGCGACTGGTCCTCCAACTACTCTCCAGGCGTCTTTTCCGGCGCTTCATCTCCCTGAGCTCCTCGGAGAACCAAGGAGCTAGGTGAGTTCGGTGCCGGGTCAGAGGCCGCAAAGGCACGACACGGTCCAAGGCCCCGGCAGCCGCACTATCCCAGGCGGCCACCAGGTCCTCAGTCGAGTCATGAGCCAGAGTCTCAGGAAATGGCCCAAGCTCCATCTGGAACCTATCAGGGTCCATCAGGCGCCTGGGGCGGAACCACCTGGTCGGTCCCGCCTCCCTGCGGCGGGGTGTAGCGGTTAGAAAGTCCAGTCGAAGGAGCGAGTGGTCAGACCATGACAAGGGTTCGATGACTATATCCCCTGTATCAAGGCCACTCAACCACTGACCAGAGACAAAAACTAAGTCCAGAGTGTGTCCACCCGTGTGAGTGGGGTCATGAATTAACTGAGTAAGGTCCATGGCCGTCATGGAAGCCATGAACTCTCGAGCCACCTCAGACGTTTCGCCGACAGATGGCAGGTTGAAATCCCCCATGACTAGAAGTCTGGGGGTACCAACCGCCACCTCAGCTATGACGTTGAGCAGCTCGAGCAGGGCCGTTGCCACGCGGCAGGGAGCCAGGTACGTGATCAACAAGCCCATCTGTACTCCACGACCCCACCTCACAAAAAGGGACTCACATCCGGCTATCTGTGGAACAGTGGTCTCTCTCGGATCAAGACTTTCCTTTATAATAACCGCCACCCCCCCGCCCCTGCCCTGAGCTCTCGGCTGATGGAATGCTCGGAAACCTGGTGGGCACATATCCACGAGGGGAACCCCCCCCTCATGGCCCAACCAGGTCTCCGTAATACCTGCCAGGTCCGCTCCCCCCTCCTGAATAAGATCGCAAATGAGGGGGGCTTTATTTACCACGGACCTGGCATTGCATGACAGCAGCCGAAGGCTCGGGCCCTGAGAGTCTGAACAGCCTGGGATACGAGAAGGGCTATGGGGACCGGGGCGTGCCACCGCTCGAAGATAGCGAGTGCGCGCCCCCACTACATTAATCAATCATTTAATTATGACAACTTCTTCCCTCGTTATTATTCAAAATATTCTTAAATTTGAGTTAATTTTTATTATAACATTCATTTCATCCTCCCAAATCTGTCTACTAATACATCTTTATATTTTATTTCACATAGTTCTACAATTCTTGTATTGTGAAGATCTCTACCATATTTCATTTCCATATTTTTTTGTCTAACCATTGATAAAATAAGTCCCATATCTTATAATATTGTTTATCTTTTTGTTCTCTAATTTCAAATGTCAATTTACTCATTTCAGCACATTCCATTATTTTCTTAATAATTTCATCCTGCATTGGCATTTTCTCATTTTTCCAATTTTTAGCAAACACAATTCTAGCCGCTGTTAATACATTAACATGGATTGTTATTCTTGAATACCCTTTCTGGATTCTGTCCTAATCAATGCTGGCTGCACTTGGAAGGAAGTATAAACCTCTCCAGAAGAACAGAATGGTATAGTCAACCTGAGCAGACAGTTGGACTAAAATACTTCCAAGGTCCCTTCTGACTCGTTATTCTACATTCCGTATTTTTCCTTGTTACCATCTGGGTTTGCCATCTCTGTCTTCTTTGTTCCTTTGTGTATAGCCTTCTTTTAACAATTTGTACACTACCCAGAGTTGCTTGGAGTCAGGTGGCACAACATTATTATTTGAGGTTGGTCAATTATTTTATTTTTATTTATTTCCAATTTATATACCACCCTTCTCCCTGAGGACTCAGGGCGGTGTACAGCCAGAATTAAGAACATGAAATACAAATATTAAAAAACAATTAAAATATATATAAATTTGGCCAAAAAATTAAAAATCACAAACCAATTTAAAACTTTTAAAAATTTCTTCTTAAGCCAGCCCGCTTGCTGGAAAAAGTGGGTTTTAAGGGCACGGCGGAAGGCACTGAGGTCTTGGATTCTCCTTATCTCTGGGGGCAACTGATTCCAGAGGGTGGGAGCCCCCACAGAGAAGGCCCTCCCCCTGGGGGTCACCAGCCTACATTGTTTGGCTGATGGCACTCTGAGGAGGCCCTCTCTGTGGGAGCGCACGGGTCGATGGGAGGTCGTCGGTAATTATGGTAATAACCATAATTATTATTATGGTTGGTCACAGCCAACCAGATGTTATTATATATTGCTGCTATTCTTCTTCCTCTTCTTCTTTTAACGACCCCATAATCCTGTTGTGACTCAGGCCCACGTAGTTAATATTAAATGCAAAACAGTTCCAAAAAGCGAAGAGATTTTATTAAAACAGCTGAGAATGAACTCATTCTCAGCGTAGTCCAAACTAAGTGAAAGCAAATTCTTCAAAACACCATTCCTCAGTTTATCTCTGACCTTGGGATAATTAGGCAAACTGCCAAAGGCTTTTCTTGGCAACAATTCAGGAACAGAAGACGCTGACAAGAAAGAAATGCATCCAAACACGAAGCAAATCTCTCAACGGTTGTTTTCCGGCAAAGAGGCCAAGAGCTGTTGCTGGTTTTTTAAGCCTTATGGGAGGGGCCAATCATCTCTTGGCCTTACTCCCGAGTCGTCCTCTCTGCTTTAGCTGCTTCTGCCTTCTGGCAGCTCTTCTCATACGTGCACTAGGAACAGGCTCCTCGTGTTCCTCTGCCTCTCTACTGTCAGCCTCTGGAGGCTCCGAAGTCCGCGCATGGCCCTGGCCCCATCTCTGCCTCCGACGCAGAGCCCTCATACGGGCCTTGCCCAGCCTCCAGGACTGGCCCATGTTCTTCCTCAGCCTCATCGCTGTCCGACTCGGCTGCCAGCTCCGCAGGCTGCTGGCGGACCACAACAAATCCCTTGCGGGGTGGAGTCTGGGCAACTGAATGGAGCTGAGTATTTACTGCCCAGATGCCTTTCCTGTCGCCAATGCGGAGTTATATTCAGCAGATATATTCTCATCGAGCCCAGAAAGAGAAATATCTGCCTCTACCTAGGATCGAACTCACATTGTGAGGCGAGAGCTCCACCTCTAGGCCCCCGCACCACTTATATATTGTTTTTGTATTATTATGAATTCAGATGTCTAACTTTTCTTGTTCTCTTCTTCTAAAGGAAACAGATACCTAAATCTAAGCGTTGTTCCTTCCAATGCCATTATGTACATAATGCATTTGTACAAGATTGCCCTCGGTTTTCCAAACATTATTTCCACTCCAGTAGCAAAAAGTAGCTCCCACTCTTAAAATAATTCCCCATTCCTGCCCCAGATTTTTCCTTCCAGGAGTTAAAAGCTCAAAGGTAAGTAGATGGTGACTCATCTACTCTTAACTTTATGGCTACGGTGACTGGAGAATGGATTGAACTTATCACCCTAGAAATTATTCAGAAAACAAAAGCACTTTGGGCGTGAACTCTTTCTGCAAACATGACTCAGAAGATCGAAGGCAGGAAAGGATGAGGATGATGATGATGATGATTTACACAGAGTAGTGGTGGAAAGGGGTAGAGGGACGCGGCGGCTCAGTGGCTAAGACACTGAGCTTGTCAATAAAAAGGTCGGCAGTTCAGCAGTTCGAATCCCTAGTGCCGCGTATAACGGGGTGAGCTCCCCTTACTTGTCCCAGCTTCTGCCAACCTAGCAGTTCGAAAGCACATAAAAAATGCAAGTAGGAAAATAGGTACCACCTTTGGTGGGAAGGTAACAGCATTCCATGCGCCTTTGCCGTTGAGTCATGCCGGCCACATGACCATGGAGACGTCTTCGGACAGCGCTGGCTTTTCGGCTTTGAAATGGAGATGAGCACCGCCCCCTAGAGTCAGGAACGACTAACACATATGTGCAATAGGAACCTTTACTTTAGTGGTGGAAAGCATTTTGAACTCAGAAGAAAAAAAAATCTGAGCTGTTTAGCCAAGAACTGGGTAAACGGATTCCCTCTGATCATAAACGTGTGGGGTAGCTGGATCAGGGTGAATGCTATCGACGTACCTGCAAATGCCACCTTCAACGCTTTGTACACGGAGGGCCTCTGCTCTGGGCTTTTGTAGAAGGTAGGTAGAAAGATCTTTTCCGCCGTTGCTTGGAGAAAGAGGTAAGCACAGCCCACCCACTCATCTATGCTGGCCGCCATCTTGGAAGCCCCTCCTGAAATGGAACACAAATCAGCCATCACCCGAGACCCCTTAAAACATCCTCATCGTCAACTACAGGCAGTCCTCGACTTACAACAATTCATTTAGTGACCAAAGCGACTCACAATCGTTTTCACCCTTACGGCCATTGCAGCATCCCCATGATCACGCGATGAAAATTTGGACACTTGGCGGCTGAGACCGTTGTAGCGTTAAATGAGTAACACCTGCAATGGGATGTGGGAACAACCTTGGGAGATTCAGAAGAGACACTCCCTAGTTTCTTGGGTTGTAAAGGAGATAGGGGGGGGGAAAATTGTACTTTGGATGCTTGCAAGATTGATGTCAACCTTGAGGGCTGAGGCAGATAACAATAGCAAGTAGCAATCTCACTTAGACTCAGGGGTGGGTTCTACTTACCTTTACTACCAGTTTGCAACGGGGCCGTGCCCGTACCAAGTGCCCAAATTTTGATCACCTGACCACGGGGATGCTGCAATGGTTGTAAGTGTGAAAAAGGGTCATAAATCACTTTTTTTCAGTGCCGTTGTAACATTGGTCCCTAAATGAACTGTTGTAAGTTGAGGACTACCTATACCCATGATGGCGAACCTGTGGCATGTGTAGCCATATCAGTGGGCACGCCAGCTCAGCTCTGGCGCGCATGTGCGTGCCGGCCACCTGATTTTCAGGCCTTTTGGGCCCACCAGAAGTAGGGAAACAGGCTGTTTTCTGCCTCGGAAGGGCCTGGGGGTAGGTGGGGGAAGGCTGTTTTTGCCCTCCCCAGATGCATAGAGAGGATCTGGAGCCAGGTGACAAAGAAAAACGGGCCAGCAAGGGAGGAGGGAGGGTTGGGCGCGCATGCGCAGGGCGCATAGAATTATGGGTGTAGGCACGCATGTGTGCAAACCTCCCCCACAACTCCCCCCTTACTGGCACGCGATGGCAAAAAGGTTAGCCATCACTGACCTATACACTAACCAAAACCAAATTACAACTTAGCACATTTAGCAATCCAAGTCCAGGTAGATACATGTGAATTCTAGCCATCCCCAGTTAGGCGCCGTCTGAATGTGACAGGACTCACAACCCTTAGATTTCCACCTGCATGGCTTAGGGCCGGGGTATTTACGAGACCGCCTTCTTGCCACCAATAGCCTCCCACCGGCCAGTTCGCTCGCACAGAGAGGGGCTCCTCAGGGTGCCCTCTGCCAGACAGTGCCGGCTGGCGACCCCCAGGGGGAGAGCCTTCTCTGTGGCGGCGCCCACCCTCTGGAACAACCTCCCCCCAGAGATATGTACAATACCAGACCTCCGGACTTTTCGTCAGGCCCTGAAAACTTATTTATTTCACCTAGCCGGGCTGGCTACACAGTTTTGGGTAAATTTAATTGATTTTAATCGGGGTGGTTTTAAATTGCGGCCAAAAATATTTAATTATTTTTAACCTGTTTTTAAATTTTGTATGTTCTGTTTTATTCTGGCTGTTCACCACCCTGAGTCCTGTTGGAGAAGGGCGGTATACAAATTAAAACAAACAAATAAATAAATAAATTTCTGGGGGGGGGGGGCCTCACTCAGAATGACCCAATCCAGTTTAGTCAAAGTCTGATCATTTATTAGTTTCCCCATAATTTCCAGTTGCAAACAACTCAGCACGTTAGAAGATGTTACTGCAGGTAGTTCTCAACTTATGACCATTCGTTTAGTGACCATCTGAAGTGACAAGGGCACTGGAAACAGGAACTTGCAACCAGTCCTTGGACTGACGACCATCACAGTGTCCTTGTGGATCACATGATTTGATTTAGGAGCTTGGCAACAGAGATGTAACACATAATCCTCAAATTAGAATAGATTAGAGCTGGAAGGGACCGTGGAGGTCTTCTAGTCCAGCCCCCTGCTCAGGCAAGAGAACCTATACCCGTGATGACGAACTTATGGCATGGGTGCCACAGGGGGCACGTGGAGCCATATTGGTGGGCACGCGAGCTCAGCTCCGAAACGCATGTATACGCCGGTCAGTTGATTTTTGGGCCTTCTGGGCCCACCAGAAGTCAGGAAACACGCTGTTTCCGGCCTCCGGAGGGCCTCTAGGGGAGGTGAGGAAGGCTGTTTTTGCCCTCCCCAGGCTCCTAGAAAGGCTCTGGAGCCTGGGGAGAGCGAAAAATGGGCCTACTGGGCCCACCGTGCCATCACGTGACAAAAGAGCGGGAGAATGAGGGGGACGGGGTGCATAGAATTATGGATGTCGGCACACGTGCGTGTGTCCCCCTCCCTGCTTTTGGCATGCGATGGCAAAAAGGTTAGCTGTCACTGGTCTAAGCGGGGAGGGGGGGTCATGCGCATGCATGCCCACACTCATAATGCAATGCCCCCCCATGCCCTGCTCCCTGCACATGTGCGTGTGAACCCCCCCATGCTCCGCGTGCGCACGCAACCCCCCAAGATCCCCCACCCCCCACATATGCGCACGTGACCCCCCCCGGCCCATTTTTTTTTAAATTTGATTTATATGCCGCCCTTCTCCGGAGACTCAGGGCGGCTTACAAGGCGTTAAGCAATAGCCTTCATCCTTTTGTATATTTATACAAAGTCAGCTTATTGCCCCCACAAACTGGGTCCTCAATTTACCTACCTTAGAAAGGATGGAAGGCTGAGTCAACCTTGAGCCTGGTGAGATTCGAACTTACAGTAATTGCAGACAGCTGGATGTTAATTACAATGCATTAGTCTGCTGAGCTATCCAGGATTCCTGGATTTTGGGCCTGGCAAGCCTCCCTGAAGCTTCTTGGGGCCAAAAACAGGCTATGGGGGGGGGCCACCACACCCCTCCCTGGCCCATTATGGCATGGGAGCGCACACCGCTCTCCCCGCGATCCCACCTCCCGTGCATGAGCGCGAGACCTCCTCCCGCCCTCGTGCATGCACACAAACTCGAGGTGCATGCATGCATATCTCCTCCATGTGCCCGTGCCAGAGACCCAAAAATCAACTTGCCGGTGGGAGGCGCACACACATGCGCAGTGGAGCTGAGCTGGGCGACAACTCGCGTGCCCTCAAGACACGCGAGCATCTGAGCAAGTGCCATAGATTCACCATCACGGTTATAGGTAGTCCCTGATTTACAACAGTTCAGTGAGTGGCCACTCAAAGTTACAACGTCACTGAAAAAAGTGCGTTATGACCGTTTTTCACAGTTTATTTATTCATTTATTTATCTATTTATTTATTAGTTTGATTTATATGCCGCCCTTCTCCGGAGACTCAGGGCGGCTTACAATGCGTTAAGCAATAGCCTTCATCCTTTTTGTATATACCTGCTTAGTAGGGCTTTTTACGACCTTTTTGCATCATCCCCATGATCCTGCGATCAAAATCCAGAAGTTTGCCAACCGGTTCACACTTACGACGGTCGCAATTGTCCCAAGGTCACTTGATCCCCTTTTGCGACCTTCCCCAGAGTCGACGGGGAAGCCAGATTCGCTTAACCACTGCAATGATTCGCTTAACCACTGCGGCAAGGAAAGTCATCAAACGGGGGCAAAACTCCACTTAAGGATGGTTTTGCTTAGCAAGAGAAATGTGGGGACCCGTAAGTGTGACCCGTAAGTCGAGGACTACCTTTTCCTAGGGGACAGAGCTGTTAAGGATAGAAACCACATTACCACCAAAAAGCACAATTCGGATTTCAATGGTTTTATTCCAGAATAACCACCTCGCCCACAAAAGCGGGAATCCCTGCAGCCCTCCCTCTCCTCGCCCTTACGGCGGACCAAGGACCCCCACCCCACCCGTTCCCTTCCCCAGGGCCGAATCGGAGCGCTGCTTGGAAAGGAATCGCCACCGCTGCCTCTTCCAGGAAAGGCCGAGATCTCCGCTTCCATTCTCACATCGTGCTAGGAATCGGGGCTCTTCCCGTTAACCCTCCCCAGCTCCAAAAGAAGGGGAAAGTCGGCACCCCCCCCCCCCCCCTTTTTTTTTTGCCCCCTGCAGGTTAGAACCGCGGCCCACTTTCACTTTCCTCTGCATCCCTAACTCCAGTCTCAGGGACTGTAACTGGTGGCTAAAGCGAAAGTGCTTTTTTTCACCCCCAAGCCCAACACGTGGGGGAACCGCGGCAGCTCCAATGAGCCCCTTCCCCCCCTCGCTTCTTTCCTCCACCCCCCCACCCCCACCAGGAGGGGGGGTTAAGTAGTAAAAAATTTTTAAAAAAATTTACAATTAAATTATATATTTTCTTACAAACATTTTAACAGGTGTTAAAATAATCACTTCAAAACTTTACTTAAAATTCAAAACATCAGCTATATTATAATACGTAAAAGATTGAATTACATTTTAATTTCATCATAAAGCTTTTGAATAAAAAAAAAAAAGTCCACTATTTTGTGGGAAAAAAAAATAGTGAACATAATGTGAAAAAAGTGGACTGTCCGCTCAAATAGTGGACACCTGGCAAACACTAAGTCCAGGAGGCCACATCTGGAAACAGCTGCGGGGGGGTGGGGGAAATCAAAGGGAATCCCCGCATCCCCCCCCCCACACACTTCTCCGCGGGGAGAGGGCAGCGCTTCGCGGGGAAAGCCCACGGGGCTGGGTTCGCGAACCCGCGTGGTGGTGGTGGTGGGTTAGGGTTAGCGAAGGGAGGAATCGCGGGGAGGGAACGAGCCAACTTTCGCGCGATCCTGGACAGATCGCAGGGATTCCCCCCCCCCAACTCCGGATCTCTCTCTCACCCCCTCCCCCTATTTTTTTTTTTCGCATAAAGGTCAGGCAAGGGCGCTCCGGCCGCATTCCCACGACACGCGAGACCCGATCCGTGTCCGTCACCTGGGTTTTGTTTTTTTTCCCCCGGAGGAGGTCGACGGAGAGGCCGAGATGGGGAGTTCGAATCCCCCCAGCCAGGGAGTTGCCCCCGACCCCGCGATCGGCCACCCGGGTTAATCCCAGCCGACCCACCCCCGCGCCCCACGGAGCGCCGAGACGGCCCCCGCTTCCCCTCCCCGATGCCTACCCGCGTCCACCGGCGCTCCCCTACTAGCCGAGCCCCGCCGGCTGCCTTCCGCCTTCCGCCTTTGCGCGTCAGCAGCTCCCGGGCGGAGAAGCCAGCCGGGCACGTGCGCGCTTCGCCTCCCCGGGATTAGGATCGGGCGCAGATTCCTGATCGGCTACGGAGCCGGGAGGTCGCGCGCCGGGAGGCGGTGGGGTGGGGGGGGTGTCTTTTTTTTCCCGCCACTGGCTGGTGAATGGAAGCGGCCCATTCAGAAAAAAAAAAAAGTTCGGAAGCGCCGCGCCAGTTACTTTGTAGCGAGCGAGCGAATTCCCGAGTCTCCCTTGGGCGCCCATTGGCCGGAGGGAGCTGTCAATCCGACCCGCGCGGCTCGCTTTCATTGGCCGAGCCATGACGGGAGGCAGAGAGAGAGAGAGAAAGAGAGAGACAAATTCCTTCGAGTGACTCCTCGGCCAATCAGAGGAGGGCCAGTGACGTCATTCTCCCATACCTTATTAGGAAGCGGTGGCCTTGCAAAAAAGGAAATGTTTTGCCTGCGGGAGTATTGCAAGAAATTCTCCCTTGGCTTTTTTTGTCCTGCTGTTAGGTAGGTAAACAGTTAACAGTAACTGAGTTGGAAGGGACCTTGGAGGTCATCTAGTCCAACCCCCTGCTCACGCAGGAGACCTGTGCTAGGGATTTGAACTGCAGAACTGCCGTCCTTTCTGATCGACAAGCTCTAGGTGTGTGGGGGGGGGGTTTGATTTGGGAAGGAAAGAAAAATACAGGGGGCAAAGAAAAGAGTGCCTCTGCGCATGCCCAGCGTGCCCGACCCTTGTCTCTGCAAAAGCCTTGCTCGTTATCATAATCCAGGCGCAGGGGTCTCCAACCTCGGCAGCTTTAAGCCTGGAGGACTTCAATTCCCAGAATTCCCCAGCTTTAAGCCTGGAGGACTTCAACTCCCAGAATTCCCAAGCTTTAAGCCTGGAGGACTTCAACTCCCAGAATTCCCAAGCTGTAAGCCTAGAGGACTTCAACTCCCAGAATTCCCAAGCTTTAAGCCTAGAGGACTTCAACTCCCAGAATTCCCAAGCTGTAAGCCTGGAGGACTTCAACTCCCAGCATTCCCCAGCTTTAAACCTGGAGGACTTCAACTCCCAGAATTCCCCAGTTTTAAGCCTGGAGGACTTCAACTCCCAGAATTCCCCAGCTTTGCTGGCTGGGGAATTCTGGGAGTTGAAGTCCTCCAGGCTTAAAGCTGCCAAGGTTGGAGACCCCCTAACCAGGGGACTGTGTCGTACAGAGGCCAACCAGGTGGGGCACGGATCTCTCCCTCTCCTGCTGGCATTCAGGAGGCAGCATCCAGCCCTGAGGAGGAAGCAACCTGACACTGATCTTGACAAGCCCCGCCCCCACTGAGTTTCCTAACCTTTTAGATATGTGGACTTAGAATCATAGAACGATACGGTTGGGAGGGACCTTTCTAGCCCAACCCCAAGCTCAAGCCGAAGACCTTATATACCAGTGATGGCTAACCTTTTTGCCATCGCGTGCCAGGAGCGGGTGGGTGGGGGGTCACGCGTGTGCGTGCCCACACCCATAATTCTTTGCGCCCTGTCCCTGTGCATGTGTGCATGGTCCCCCCTACTTCCCCTGCTCCTGCACACGATGGCACAGTAGGGCCATTTTTTGCTGTCCCCAGCCTCCAGAGCCTTTCTAGGAGTCTGGGGAGGGCGAAAACAGCCTTCCCCACCCCCGGAGGCCCTCCAGAGGCCACAAACGGGCTGTTTCTGGCCTCCGGAGGGCCTGGGGGGGGGGCGGGTGAGGAAGGCCGTTTTCACCCTCCCCAGACTCCTAGAAAGGCTCTGGAGGCTGGAGTGAGAGAAAAATGGGCCTTCCCCACCACCTCCTGAAGTCCTCCAGAGGCAGGCCTGTTTCCCTACTTCTGGTGGGCCCAGAACGCCCGAAAATCTGCTGGCAGGTGCGCGCATGTGCACCGGAGCTGAGCTTGCGTGCCCACTGATATGGCTACGCGTCACGGCTGTATACCATCCTGGACAAATGGGTACTGGGTTCTAACCTAGAGCAATATATTGATTCTATAACCCTGATGGCGAACCTATGGCACGGGTGCCACAGGTGGCACACGAAGCCATATCTGTGGGCACACGAGCATTGCCCTACCTCAGTCCAGTACGCATGTGCGCGCTGGCCAACTGATTTTCGGGCCTTCCGGGCCCACCGGAAGTCGGGAAACGGGCTGTTTTCGGGCCTCCGGGGGAGTGGGGAAGACTGTTTTCACCGTCCCCAGGCTCCTAGAAAGGCTCTGGAGCCTGGGGAGGGCAAACAAATGGGCCTACCGGCCGACCGTGCCATCGCGTGGCAAAAGCGGGGGGAGAATGGGGGGGTCATGCATGCATGCGTGGGGGGACGGGGTGCATTGAATTATGAGTGTGGGCACGCGCGCGCGCAATCCCCCCCATTACCCCCGCTTTTGGCACACGATGGCAAAAAGGTTAGCCATCACTGTTCTATAAGATTCGCTGCCCTGGTGGCTGACTTGGGTATTGCTGGCTCAGTGTGAAAAATAAGGAAGTGGGGTTTAATGTATTGTAGAGGGTATAGATCAGGGGTGTTAAACTCGATTTCATTGAGGGCCGCGTCAGGGTTGTGTTAGACCTGGGGGTGGTGGCTGGGGGGAGGGCATGATCAGCTCGATATCACTCGTGTTGGGGTGCCTGTGGTGGCGTGAGCGCTCTTGTCAGTGAAAACGGGCTCCCGAGCTCCATTTTTGGCTGCAGTGGCATCCTGCAACTCTCTGCCAATAAAAACGGAGCTCAGGAGGGCTGCCTGTGGTCCTTCCGAGCTCCGTTTTCTCTGACAGAGGCACCATGGCTGGTCCTTCATTGTTTCCAGAACAGCCCTGCGGGCCCACGGCCAGATCCAGGCCCCAGGCCTTTTTTTTTTTAATTTGATTTATATGCCGCCCTTCTCCGGAGACTCAGGGCGGCTTATAATGCGTTAAGCAAGAACCTTCATACTTTTGTATATTTATACAAAGTCAGCTTATTGCCCCCACAAACCGGGTCCTCATTTTATCCACCTTAGAAAGGATGGAAGGCTGAGTCGAACTTGAGCCTGGGGAGAATTGAACTCGCAGTAATTGCAGGCAGCTGGATGTTAAATGCTGCCTTAGGAGGCATTAGCCTCCTACGCCACTCAGGCTCCTTGAGTTTGACACCCTGATAGAATATTCTGCCCTGGGTGGTTGGGTGGGGTATTGCAGCCTCAATGGAGAAAATAGTGCAATGTTTTAAGCCTATAAGACATACCCTGGTGGCTGACATAGGTACTGCAAGCTTTATAAATAAGATCTGTATGGTCATTACTGCGTCTAGGATTTACTGCAGCGGCTCAGTGGCTAAGACGCTGAGCTTGTCGATCAAGATTATGGGAGCGACACGGCGCACCCATGTAACACCTCTCCTGCGCGAGCTGCAGTGGCTCCCGGTGGTCTTCCGGGTGCGATTCAAGGTGCTGGTTACCATCTTTAAAGCGCTCCATGGCTTAGGACCCGGGTACTTACGAGATCGCCTTCTGCCACCGATAGCCTTCCACCGGCCACTACGCTCCCACAGAGAGGGACTCCTCAGGGTGCCGTCGGCCAAACAATGTCGACTGGCGACCCCCAGGGGGAGAGCCTTCTCTGTGGGGGCACCTGCCCTCTGGAATGAATTGCCCCCGAAGATACGTATGATCCCTGACCTACATACCTTTCGCCGTGCCCTTAAGACTTTACTGTTTCAACAGGCTGGGCTGGCTTAAATAACGAATTTTAATGGGTGTTTTAGTTTTTTAATATAAGGGCCAAATTATTTAATATGTTTTAAACTGTTTTTAAATTGTATGGATATATGTGTTTTATCGTGGCTGTGCACCGCCCTGAGTCCCTCGGGAGAAGGGCGGTATAAAAATTTAAATGATAAATAAATAATAAAATAAATAAATAAATAAAAGGTCGGCAGTTCAGCGGCTCGAATCCCTAGCGCTGCGTAACGGGGTAAGCTCCCGTGACTTGTCCCAGCTTCTGCAACCTAGCAGTTTGAAAGCACATTAAAAAAAATGCAATTAGAAAAATAGGGACCACCTTTGATGGGAAGGTAACAGCGTTCCGTGCGCCTTTGGCGTTTAGTCATGCCGGCCACATGACCACGGAGATGTCTTTGGACAGCGCTGGCTCTTCGGCTTTGAAACGGAGATGAGCCACCGCTCAGAAGAGGGCAGTTATGGTCATTATGATGATATAATAATTAATAATCTATCAGCCCCGCCGGCAGGAACTCAAAATTCTGAGTACAAACACTACCTTGATTGTAAGGTTCCCGTGTCACAATTTTGCAAGTCTGCAAAGCATTTCTCCTCTCCTTGCCTGTTATGGAGTGGAATTGGGGGGGGGGGAGTCCCCAGGAGTGGGAGGTATATTCCAGTAGAGTAAGCCCAGATATCACATGTGGGAGAAAGACGGTGAGGGCAGCCTCTCCCTAATAGTTCCCAGAGTATACTGTAGATGCAGATAACTGAGGGTTTAGTTTAGCAACGGCCATAAGTGTGAAAAACGGTCATAAACTTTTTTCCCCCTGTGGCATTGTAACTTTAAACAGTTAATTCAGTGAATGGTTTGTATTTTCCCTGTATTTTGCCTTCGGAGCCTTCAGTACCCAGATCAGCCACCGGGGGCAGTAAATCATACAGTATTACATGTTGCATGGCTGTTTTAGAACATCCTCCCATCCTCTGATAATGGGTTTTATTGAGCTGGTTTTTCTGACATTTGAGTCAGGATTTTAGACGCTGCTCTTAGCGCCCAAGGCTAACTGGCCTATATAAAGACTTTTCTAATTCAGTTATTCAAAATTGTGCAGTTGTACTAGGCCGGGTGTCAGCAACCCGCAGCTCTGGAGCCGCATGTGGCTCTTTCGTCCCCCTGCTGTGGCTCCCTATCAGCTGAACCAGGGGTGGATTCTAAATTTTTTTACTACCGGTTCTGTGGGCGGGGCTTATTTTGTCGGTGTGGCTTGGAGGTCATGTGACTAGGTGGGCGTGGCTAGCTGGTCAGAGTCATTTCTGGAAGGTCCTCACACTTACGACCAGTCCTCGCACTTACGACCCGACTCATTTGTTTGCTTTTAACACTGATCAGCTGTAGGGCGGCCCTTTGAAGCCCCGTGGCAAGAGTTTAAACAGTTTTTTTTTTTCCCTCTAGTCATCAGCTGGGACTCAGGAGGCAGCAATAGATTGGGGGTGGGACCAAATA